CCCCCCGTTCTGTCTCTTCCAATTCCCACAAAGTTTAATGAATGCAGTACAAGCTTCACAGAATCTATTTACAATGATCTTTTTTCAAAATTACTTTTCCTATATCACTTTCTACTGATTTCATTTCTACTGACAGAATTAGACCTCTAAGCATGGATAAAACGTGATTCAAAACATTCAAAACATGAAATACCCTGTCTTACTAGAATAACACTATTTCCTATGAACCCTAGCCAACATATTTCAAAATACATGACTATAATCACAACTTTCATTTCTATCTGAATGTTTTTGTCCGTTTTCTTGCCATAACCTGACCAACTTTTCAAAGTCTACATTAAATGCTATCCCATTCACAAATATCATGCAAAGTTCCCCAACAAGGGTAAGGTCTCTCTTCTCTGAGACCCTATGATACTTTGTTTATGCTCCTTAAGTTAATACTTGTTTCATTTGCCTTGCTTTTTCATGATTTTTGTACTTATATCTCCTGAGTATCTGCCCCCTATAGAGCAAGCTCTTCCTCTTTTGCATTATTGCCTTGTAGCACTTGGTACAGTGACATGGAAGAACCCTTAAATGAAATGATATAAATTTCTAATGCATATAAAATTTACTGGCTAAATAATGATTTCCAATTTAGAAATGTGAATTTCTAAGATAGATGCTCAAGTAAAAGAGAAAAATCTGATGATATAGATCAATACATAACCACCCTCATTAGGAAATCTTGCGTTCCAGCACTTTCATAGGAAGTAATGTCGTCGTGTAAACAATTTCTTAGTGTTTATTTCTTTCTCTCTATATTGAATATCCAAATAAAAGATACTTAAAAAATGCAACACCATTCAATTAAATATGGCTCAAAGAGATACAAATCTTTTAATGTTAACTTTATGACAGAACTGTCTGTTTTCAAATGAAAACTATGTGAGGAGATTTTAGTGCTATACAATTCAGCTGTAATTTTACAGAACTGTGAATTGAGAACAAACTGGGGGGGGGTGTTGAAAAATCAGTACTTACAAGGAGTATTCAGGAACAGCATCCTTGAAGGCAGGAAGTTCGCGCACGTATTCATTATAAAACCATTTCACTTTGAAATGCAAATTCATATAATCGGTGCTCTTGCATAATCGCTGCTTCTCATGTTCTATAACAGATAACATCAAACAATTAATAAAGTTTGGTTTGCCAACGGTGCTGCTGTACTCCAATCTACCTTTAGAGGTAGATTAGTGGTATTTATAACAAGAAGAGTGTATTAGAGGTAAAGGCAAAGTAAATTGCTGAAGGCAGACCTGAAATTTCAAAATGCAAAAATAATGGCATCTCAAGCAACAATGTGAAATAACTTGAATGTTCTAATATGTCCTGCTAAAAAGGTGAGAATTTTGATAGGCTTAAAGAATAAGAGCATACTTAAGATTTTTCCATTTATCTGCAAACGTTCATATTTTGACTACTTTTAGCCAGATGCAGAGTGACAGAGTAAGACCTCTAAATATGGATAAAACATGATTCAAACTAGGCATCATATTCACTGATTAATACAGAACATGTGAATATGTAGATAATATTTCTGGCCTAATTATTTAATACTTAAAATATTAAGAAAGTTAAAAATAAAAGATATCTCAATCAGCCATATAATTTTTTCTTTACCTTTTAAGTTCAACTAAAATTATTTTGCATCCTATAGCTTTTTTGATATTTTGTTAGAAGAGTTTTACTAATATGTGGCATTATTTTCCATCTTGCTTGAAAAGTATAACTTAAAACTGTTTTTATGACCTGGACTTACAAAAACTAGGGAGGAGAGATATGTAATAATGCTACTGAACATGTTGATTCCCCGTTGCCCCATATTATCTTGGCCAATTCTGGTTAAATTATAAACACAACCAAACTCAAACCCAAAATATCCCTAGCTATATTCAGGTTGACTATATGCTCTGATAAGTTCTGGTGGAGATCTATGATTCTCCACTAAGCTCAAGGCTTTGATTCATAGTAAAAACATTCTATATTACATTCTGGGCTGAATTCTGAAAATACTAATTGAAGCAAATAAATTGTTATTAAAAGATTTAGGTTATCCCTGTTTTCTAAAACCTGTCTATAGAGGGTCTTAAACTCCTATTGTATACAAAAGAAAGATTACAACCCCAAATCAAACGTTTTAAAATGCTCTCAACAAAGATTAATTCAAGACAATGTGTCAGGAGAAAGAGAGAGAAGCACAGATATAGGTACTCACAAAGAAACAATAGTAATAAACTAGTACTTATAAGCCAACCACCAAGCAAAATTATGAACAAGATGTTTTGCTTCAGCTATCTCCAAATGTATTTCATTCTTTTTCACCTTATTTATTTACTTACTTAGTTATAGGTGGACACAATATCTTTATTTTATATTTATGTGGTGCTGAGGATCAAACCCAGTGCCTCACGCATGCTATAGAAGTGCTCTACTTCTGAGCCACAACCCAGCTCATCTTTTTCACCTTTTGATATTGGTTTTCTCCCAGCCTATCCTGTTAAATATCTAGTATCCCCTCATTTCTTAAAAGGAAAAATTCATAGGTAGGAACTTAACACAATACTACCCTGCAACACAACATGGTGAGGTCCTTACCCTTTACCCATACATTTAGAGGTCTCAATATATCACAAATTATGTGACTCATGGGCTCCTCAATCATGTGGGATCCCATTCTTGGTGCGGTAGAAAGCAAGCTGGAATGCTAAATACCTTCTCTCATGACTAGCAACACCTGAATTTATAATTAATACTCTCTAAACCCCAGAATAAAAGCATTCTGGACCATCTTTTGCCCTAAGTTCTAAAACATAAAAGTTGACTGTGTCCAAATGCTACAAACTGTGGCAAGCTGTTCCAGTACTGACCAATAGAAACACTGCTTTGGAGTGTGGGGAGAAACTTGCACTGTGAAAGCACATAGGTGAGATATATGGCAAACTAACATGCCAAGTTCTACCCTGGACAACTGAAATGTAATATATTGTTGCATAATAAACTATGATTTTTAAGTTAATTAACACACATGTTTTACTTTTATTTAATTCCAACTAATGCTTGTGAAGATATTCATGAATCAAAACAGATACACATGATAGATGGGGAATATTTTGAATAAAACATAATTCATATTACTTTTAGGTTTGTATATGTGTAGTTCCAGATGTAATATACATGAAATCTGATATTGATTTTCTTCCAATTAAATCGACATTGAATGCTAGAAGTGTAAATTGCTTTGTATTTTAAAATTTAGATGCATGAACTTCAATTAAATTTTAACTCTAAAATATATTTTAAAGTTTACTTTAAATTACATCTATTTATAAAATATTCAGATCATGTTTATTTTTAATAAATATTGAGAATGCATGTAAAATGAGATTGTTTGAGATTCTTTGGAAAAAAACAAACAGTGCAATTGGAGTTCGAAAAAAAGACAAAAAACAAAAGAAAAAGAAATGTCAAGGTGAAGGTATCTTTTATTTTTCAAAATTATGGATGGTGTGACAAGGCATAACGCAGGAAAGGCTGTGTTGTTTGGCATCACTGTTAATGTAATGCAAAATATTTGGAAAATTTTTATTATAACTGCATAGTGTTCTTTCTGAAATAGAAATGAAAAGGTGTATTTTCTACAGGAAAAATATTATTTCTGATTTATGGATATCCTTATTGAATAACCAAATATTATCAGTCCAAGCAGAAGACTCAAATAAGCATATTGAAAAATAAATTTTAACTTCGACATTTTGCCAACTTTCAAAATATTAAAACATAAGTGGTGTTATATACATTTTTTATCATGTCAATAAGAAATTATACTCATTAATGTAGAAAGACCTTTTACTTAACAATTTGGGAGTGTGGTTTGTAAATTGTAAGTATTTAGGTATATTCTATGTGGGAGTCTATGTGTGCTCCTAGCTCTGCAAATGTTAGAAATGAGCCTGACTTAATATATTATTTCTCTAAGAATATTTGCATAGTATCAGAATTGTGAATGGAAAGGCAGCACAGTTTCATTTAATTCCAAAAGTATTTATTGAGGACTGTCTTGTGCAAGGCCATGTATGAGGCATTGGATATCTAAAATGAGGCTGCACATCCTTGATCTGAGTTCCCTGAGAATAGGGAAGAAGGGTGACATACTATCAGTCCATTCAACACAATAGCAAGTGTCCCTGATTTGCAGGTTGTACAGAATGTTATTGTCTCCTGGAGAAGATGAATTTACCGAATTTTTGCTTTAAGTGAACAATTAAATAGAGAAATTATCTGCTAATAGTGATAGTGCATGAAGAGGAATTAGTGTCAAAAGAAACATTACATGCAGTAGTAGGACCTCATCTTATTTGAAAGGGATAATACTTTAGACAGATGCATGCCTTCTGTGAAATTATATGCCTATTTTTCAAAATAAAACCTTTGGATGTCTTCTTTTCTTTACTCAGGTTTGTAAATGTTTCAACAGTAAGTATGGCTGACCTTGAATGCATGTTGACCCTAAAAGGGACAGGTTTCACCAATCCCTTACATCACAGAATACCTTGGAAAAAGGTAAATGCCTGTTTTACAGGCAGGATTCTTAGTTTACTTGAATGCACCATGCATATTGCATTTTTCCAAAGCCATATATGTTTTTTATTTCTTTATTTGAGTACCCAAGATTACAAACTTTCCAAAATCCATCCTCCTGGACTCTGCAAACTCTCCTATGCTTCTATAGTTCTTTCATACCTCTATTCACAAAGTTCCAGGAAAAGTACACTTCTTTTAAATATATATATATATTCTAATTAGGTCTATATGACACCAGAATGCATTTGATTCTTTGTATACAGCTGAAGCACAACTTTTCATTTCTCTGTTTGTACATGATGTAGATTTGCACCATATGTGCAGACATACATGTACCTAGGATAATGGTGTACATCTCATTCCATCATCTTTCCTACCCCAATGTCACCTCCCCTTCCCTCCCTACCTTTTGCCCAATTACAGTTCCTCTATTTTCCCCATCCCCCACCCCCTTTATGGATCAGCATCCACTTATCAGAGAGAACATTCAGCCTTTTGTTTTGGGGGATTGGCTTACTTCAC